AGCTGCCACTGGGGGCCGACAGGCTTGGCCTGGGCACTATGAAGCCCTGGGTCTCCAGTGTGTGGCAGATCAGCAGCACACCTTTACCCCCCACCTCTCTGTCCCTTCTGCTCCCACCCACCTTACCCTCTCCAAGACTCGGCTGCAGATGGGCTTCCAGGGGTGCAGTTCTGGAGAGCAAGAAAGGCTGCCCCAGGGGCTGGGACACCAGAAAGCAGGGTGACCCAGGTCCGAGCAGGCCATAAGAGGGAGTGCCAGGGGGTGACAGGAGGATATGGGGCTCCCTTCCCACCAGCCTGGTGGGCAGAGTGAGCCACTGGGGAGGGACAGGCGGGGAGGGGGAGTACACACCCCAACAGCAGAGCAAGGAGGCCTTTGAAGCTTGAAGTGCTGGGAAATAAAGGGATATTATTCACCCAGCGGGTGGTAAATAGTCCCAGCTAATGAGTAGGTGGCACCTGACATTTTCCAAGGTACCTTCCAAAAACCCAGCTCCCTTAATATTTACGACAGCCCTGGGCAGGAGACATTATCATCATCCGCCTCAGGGTTCAGGTGAGAAAACAGAACCCCAGGAAGGTCTGGTGCCGTACCCAAGGTCACACAGCTCAAACTTGGACGGTCCACTCCCCACCCCTGGCCTTCCCCACACCCAGAGCTGCCCCTCCAGCCTCAACACCCAGCAGCAGCGCTGGCCTCAAATAGGAGGGGACTCATTCTGCACAGAGGCGGCGTTCCTCCCCTGGGGCATCCCTCTCCAAGGCAAAAGCCAGTTCTTGCTGCCCCACTGCTAGTCCGGGTGGACTAGAGAAACAAATCCAGAGACACTCATATATGTGGAAGAGAGAGCTTTATAGGCAAGCACAATGACAGGCTAGACTCCACCCCTTCGCAAGTTGACAAGAGATTATGTAACTACCACACCCACCTAGCACCGTATTGTTGGGGTTGGATGTTACCAAGTGGATTCTGACTCAGAGTGGGTCCATGTGATGTTGGATTACCCAATTGGCCAGGTAGGCACAGGCTTACTGGTGCTTACCTTCGAATCTGTAGCGAACCATTTCACATGTTTTTCACCGCATCAAAGATTCTGCTGCTTAGTCCGGCTAGCCTCTGCCTCTCTCCCAACCCCACAGCACCTTCTGCCAGAACTGAAGCCTCTTTTCAAATGGGAGGTCCCTGACAGGGACGGAGTGCCCAGTATGCAAAGCAAGCCCATGCTTACCTAGCTAGTTGGGCAGCCTGCCGGAGCCCATGCAACAGAGGGGAACTGCCCCATGGTGTTTTCTTGGTGGTAACTGTGGCAAAGGCAGGTACTGCAGTCCCTCCCAAACTCAAACTCCCTGCCATCCATCTAGCTGAGGTGGACATAGCGACCCTTTAGGACAGGGTAGAACTGCCCCGGGGGGATTCGTAGACTTTAACAATCATTTTTCTCCCCTTAGAGCGAATGGTGGTTTCAAACTGCTGACCTTGTGGTTAACAGCCCAAGGTGTAAGCACTACGCCCCCAGAGCTCCTTGCAGAGCCTCTGGGTGGGTTCAAATCGCCAACCTTTTGGCTAGCAGCCAAGCGTTTCCCCACTGTGCCCGCGGAGTTCCTTAGATGTGAGCTAAACCCTTGGGGGGAGGAGGAGAGGGTGGGTGTGAAGGAGGAGGACAGGAGCAGGAGAGGAAGGAGGCCCTGGTAGAAGGCTCTTACTGAATCCGGCCTGTGTGTCAGGGACGGGCAGGCAGGGGGAGTGCCAGGCTACATTCACGATGGATGGGTTGTATTGGTTTCCCAAGTTCTTAGGCATTCCGCCTGGGAGCAGGGTAACCCCTAGGCCTCAGACACCTGGCTGCTGCCTGCCCCCACCCCACCCCCTGCTCAGACCCCTGTTTAGCCCCACATCCTGAGCCTTCCACATCCATGCTCCAGGGGCCAGCTCCCCAACCATCCGTTGCCTCACCTGCTCCCCAACCAGGTAACGAATTTGCCAAGAAGGAGTTGTGGGTAACATCTCTGTTATGGTCCGGTTGCCATGGCAATAAATTGTCACTAATTAGTAGTGTGGTTACCATGGCAATTTTCTAGTAATTACAGGTTACAAATGGTGCAAGGCTTCAACCCAACCCAATTAGTTAATTAGAAAGATTTAGAAATGTGTCCAAAAGGGAAGTAACCTGCTTTGTAGAAAATGAAGGGAATGTGTCACAGCTCGGGGGCCAGAGGCAGAGAGGAAATTGGAGGATGCTGGAGTGGCGAAGAAGGATGGAGTTGTGTGGCAGCAAGTCCCTGAGCCCCACTTGGAATTTCCGGGGGTTCGGAAAGATGGAGGGCCCTTGGCCAAGGCCTGCTCCTAAGCTGGTGTCTGGCGGGACTCCCCAGGCGAGGACAGCTGCCAGTCGACATATAGCGGCTCCTATAGGCTAACAGGGAACTGACGGCACCCACCCACCCACCCCACCCCGGCCCAGCTTTGGCCCCAGACACCAGAAAGGGTTCGTGATCCCCTCCAGGAGGACCCTGGGGGGCCAAAAGTACCTGTGTGTGATCAGCAGAGTCATGCTGGAGAAAGCGCTGGCCCCAGGGGGGAGGGGAGGGGTGTTTAGCCTTTACCACTGCAGGTCTGCAGGCTGACCGCCTGCCCATCTATTGTTTAAGCCAATCAGGTTCTTCCAGCCTGTTCTGATGAATGCTCCCATTACCACAGACAACACTTCTCAAACCTGTGCGTGCTCTGCTTAGCACCCTCAGCAGCATTCCACAGGGGCCTGGGAGCCGGCATGCCTGACAGCCTGGCTCCTTTCCCAAACCCTGCCCCCTCGTTTGTTTCCCTCCAAACCTCTGAGGTAGAAAACGGCAGGTCGGATGATTCCCCTGCAGATGAGAACATAGGGTCGACAACCAGCCCAAACCAAGCCGGCCCCCACATAGCCAATTCCAACCATTGCAAGCCCAGAGTTTGTTTCTGGGGCTGACATCTTCACGGCCACCAACTGCCTTTCCTTTCTCCCTCAGAGCAGCCAGCGGGCTGGAACCCCTTCGAAGGTTATGCTGAGCAGCCCCAAGCCCCAAGCCCCGGGGCTCCTTAACTGAAACCTCACTGCTGCAGAGGCAGTTCTGACTCAGGGCAGCTCTGCATGGGGTTTCTGGGGCTGTGCGTCCCTGCAGGAGCAGTCTCATCTTTCTCCCATGAAGCAGTGTCTGGTGGGTTCCAACCACTGCCTTTATCATTAGGAGCCCAGTGTGTCATCCACAACGCCAGCAAGCTCCTTCAGGCCCTCCCTCATCGCTGCCATGGAGTCAATGCTGACTCTGGCCACCCTGGAGGGCAGAGCAGAACTGCCTTGAAAGCCTCATCTTTCTCCCAAAGAGCGCCCGGTGGTTTTGAACTGCTGCTGAGGTACCATAATTGACCAAGGACGCGCAGTTTGTAAGGAGCCATGCTGGGCCCGGCCCCCCTGTCCTAGGCCTGGCCAGGCAGTTTCTGGCCTTGGGGGCTGTGGCAAGGGAAGGCAGATGGCTTTCGCCCAGACGTGTGCTCCCGGGGGTGGGTGTTTGAAACGCACGGACTGGAGGCGGTCTGTTCAAGGAGCCTCGCAGTTGGACTTAAGGACACAGTTTGATCCCGGAGACTAGCCCCTTGGAGACCTGGTAGGTCCCGTTTTAACTATGCACCCGTTTTGCAGTTTCTGTTCTGAGCACTGCAGAAGCAATTCTCGTTGCAGCCCACCACCAGGACACAGACATGCAGAGAGATGGCCAGCCAGGGTCCCTCTGGCCTTCCCACGGAGGTGGCCAGGGTTCACAGCTAAGTGGGGGGGGGGCCTCACTTTTCTCTATACTTACACAAGTTCACATAAACAGGTATAGTCGGAAATAGTCCGCATTTTTTTTTCCTAAGAAGCATAGGATTCTATAATGCCATGAGTTGGTGAATTGTTGGTTTTTTGCATTTTTTTTTCACTTAACGGTGTATCTTGGGCACTCCTCCCAGTCAATATATATGGATCTGTGCAGTTTTTAGTAGCTGCAGAATCCTATGTGGGTGTATCCTAACTCGCTAACGATGAGCATGCGGGGTGTTCCCAAATGCCGACCCATCAGACCGAGCCACGGAAGCAAGCATCCCTGTACCACATCAGGCTGGGCTCACACGCCTGCCGATCTTTGAAGCAGGAATGCACCCTACCCTTGGTCTCGGCCAGCATGGGTGTGACTGGGGGATCCCTGGTGGCATAGTGGGTTCAGTGTTGGGCTGCTAACTGCAAAGTCAGCTGTTCGAATCCACCAGCCACGTTGTGGGAGAGAGAGGAGGCTTGCTGCTCCCAGAAAGTTACCATCTCAGGGTCATTCTACCCCGGGTCACTGTGAGTCAGAACTGACTCGCTGGCAGTGAGTTTGAGGTTTGGCTGTGTGGCTGGGGGAGGGCACGGGAGGGGTGTCAGGGAATCTGTGATGTGAACAACATGGTGGAGGCTCACTGTAATCCAGCCACTTGGCTCAGAAGAAGCCCTTGGTGGGGTAGTGGGCTGTGCACTGAGCTGCTACCCCCAAGGTTCGCAGTTTGAAACCAAGAGCCACTCCACTGGAGAAAGATGAGGCTGTCTACTCTCTCAGAGACCCACGGGGGAAGTTCTACCCTGCCCTAGGGTGGCTGAGTCCAGTTGACTCAATGGCAGTGAGTTTGGATTTGTTGTTTCTTTAGAAAGGGACTGGAGGCGTCTGTATGGTGCCTGGAGCCCTGAGCCTTCCCTTGGGCACAGAATTGGCAGTGCATTGGGCACACACCCTGCGCCACTGCCCTTCACCTGCCTCATCCAGTGTTCACACCCTGAACACAGGTGGATGGAAGCGGACGCTCGGGGCAGGGGCAGCGGCGGCATGGTCAGATCTCCCCAGGCTCTTTGGAAAGGGGCCCAAAGTCACTTCCCCCAGCCTCAGGGGCCGTGCCCATCCAGCGTTCCATCCGGCTCTGCTTCTCCCTCACGGCGGGTCCCTGTCCTCTCCCAGGCGGCCGGGGAGTCAGCGTGGGCCCCATCCTCAGCAGCAGTGCCTCAGACATCTTCTGTGACAACGAGAACGGGCCCAACTTCCTCTTCCACAATCGGGGTGACGGCACCTTCGTGGATGCTGCGGCCAGTGCTGGTGAGTGACCACAGCTGCCGCCCTGGCCCTGGCCCACCCAGCAGGACCAAGTCGCTGTCCGGTTCCACATCCCCCGCGCCTCTAGCCAGGCCCTGGGGTGAGGGGTGTTGACTGTGGGGGAGGGAAGGTCTGCACGTCCTGACCATTATCGGTTCCCAACACCGAGAACCGGCTGGTCCCCCCCCGCCCCTCCCGCCGAGTCCTGTCCACCGTGTCTTCCCGTCAGTTTCCCCCACACTGCTTGCCCGCAGCTCGGCCCCTCCCATATTTATTGGAAACATGCTGTTCAATCCATCTATTGAGTCCCTGCTAAGTGTGTGTGAAGCTGGAGTGAAGCCAAAACACCAACAGACACACAGGCTGCTGGCATTCTAGAAGGGGAACCAAACAACTAAACAAACAGCCACAGTGAGAACTAGGATAAAACCCATGTCGAAAGGTGCCCGTCTCCCAACCCGGCCTCCCATCCTCCCTGCATGCTCCTCCTCCCTCTGTCCCAGGGCCTTTGCACCTGCCATTCCCACTGCCTGCCCTGTCTGCAGAGCGCGTTTACCCCTCAGCACTCAGCCTGACTGCCACCATCACGTTGCTTAGCTGTGCCACCAGGCTGTGTTTCCTCGGCCTCTGGCTTCTACAGTGACAGCAGGCCTTCCCTCTGGGACCCGGTTCTAGTGCCTGTGAACTGGACGCTTGGTGTGCAGTAATCGGCTCAGTGGGCTCCAGGAACCTGGGTGACAGTATCCAACTAGTCGTCCAGCCACCCTCCAACCACTTCGCCCTAGCCACTTCCTTCCCAGCTGAGCGGGAGGTTTGATTTCACCTTCTCCTTGGGGTCCCTGAGGGGAGCTCTGGGCTCCGGCAGAAGAGGTGCGTGGGGAGCTGGACACATAGATGAGCTCCCCCAAAGCTCCTGGTGCCAGGTAGTGTCGAATCCCTAAGCACATGCCAGCCCATCCTCTCTGGCATGGGAGCGCTCACTGCCCCAGCCTCTGAGGTCTCCAATCGGCGGACTCTGCACCCAGGACCCCAAGCTCCATGCCAGCCCACCCCTACCCCCATCCTCTTCCCCATCACCAGCTCCCCTGGCCTGTTCCTCTCCCCAGCGTAATACACCGGCTGCTGGTTTTTCTCATTGCAAAGAAATTGGAGCAGGGTGGGAGGTGGAAACCCAGAGGATCTGATAAGGTGTTAGAGAGATGGGAACAGAGGTGAGTGAGCACACTGGAGCGGGAGACGGTACCAGGCTGGAGGAGAGAGAAGAGGTGCGAGGCCCGTAATTGCAAGTCAGAATGATTGCAGGGGTTTAACAAGACATGTCAAGAGGGCATTCATCACCCCAACAGATGCTGCTGTGAAAGGCAGCCTGGCACCGATTATTCCGCGAAAAGGAACCAGCTCCTTGTCAAGGTGCCTCACAGATAGGAGAGGAATGGGCCCCCATGCCCAGGGCCACTGGCGCTCCAGCTGGGGAGGCTCACCCACAATGGATGGAGCAGTCCCGGGGCTCGGAGGCTGCTCTGCCGCCTGGCAGACCCTCTCTGTCGGGCCGGGCTGCCCTGCCTCTTCCCCACCAGGCCCGCTTGGTCTGGTCCTTCTTCTGGACCCCAGCCCCACCTTCACCTGGCCCCCACCATCAGGGGACCCACATTTGCAGCTGTGGTTCCCCACCCCCAATGTATTGTCCTGTCGCTCTCTGGGTCCAAGGACCTCTCACCATCAGCCAGGAGGGAGCCAGGTCAGGGCTGGGCTCAGCATCCCTCCACTCGGTGCCCTCCCGAGCAGTGAGGAGGTATGGAGCATACCAGGCTGTCATTCCAGGCAGAGCCACCCCACACCCCGCCACCAGGATCAGCTCAGTCCTAGGGACACTGGCAGAGGCTGTGGGTGGCATCAGCACCCTGCCTCAGTCACACTCGCCTCCTTCTGGGCCTCCCTGGACCCCTCGCTGCCGGTCACTCCTCCATGACTGCACGGTTCCCCCGCCACGCCACCGTCACCAGCATCCCCAGTTTGGTCCTTTCTGTCCCACGCCTTGTGCCTAGTCCTTCATTAAGCTAGTATTTCGTGAGGCCTGCGAGGTGGCAGCAGGCTGTGACACAGAAGCTGAGGCAGCTTGGGTGGACAGAAAGGCCAGCCCCGGCCCCTGGGGTGCAGGGCTGGCAGGAGAGCCGGGCCCTAGACAGGGACAGCCGAGTTGCAGGAGGGATAGAGGTTCTAAGGGAAAGAACAGGTGGCGCTGGGGTGGGGAGGGGCTGTGGGAGGTGGGAGAGGCTCCCTGGGGAGATGGTGCTTGCTCACAGAGCAGGAGGATAACTGGGAGGCAGGTACCCGGGGATTGGGTAGAGCACTCCAGGCGGAGGGACCCGCTGGAGCACCGAAAAGAGCCTGGTACACTGGAGGAGTGGAAAGGATGCTGGGTAAGATGGGGAGTGGGCAAGGGTGAACTTTTCCCAAGATCACTGGGAAGCCGCTGATGAAGCAAAGGACCAACACCATCCAATTAATTCCCCGCCCTTAGGAGCGCCTTGCTCCTAACTGCAAGGTCAGCAGTTCAAAGCCACCAGTCGCTCTGGGGGAGAAAGATGAGGTTTTCTACTCCCCTAAACAGTTACAGTCTCTGAAACCCACAGGGACCAATTTACCTGGACCTATGGACAGGGTCGATGGGCGTCAGCATTGGCTCCGTGGCAGTGAGGTGGGGGTTTTTTGGAGGATGGATGAAGGAGCCCTGATGGCCCTGTGGGTAAGATATGGAACTGCTAATCACACGGTCAGCAGTTCAAAACTGCCCGCCCGGCTGCAGGAGAAAGGTGAGGCTGTCTGCTTCTGCGCAGATTTACAGCCTCGGAAACTGGTGTAGAGTCGCCTCAACTCGATGGCAGTGGGTTTGGGTTCATTTGGTTTGTGTTTCTCAGACTGGCGGCTCAAGTGGCTAAAAGGAGCTTCAATCCTACATTTCCACCAGTCTTACCCGTCTCTTCTCCACTGCCAGCACGGGGATTCCAGCACACAGCCGCCCTGTAGGACAACATTGAACTGCCCCTTGGGGTTTTACCAGCTGTGAGTCTTTACGGGAACAAACAGCCTCATCTTTCTCGCTCAGAGCAACCGGTGGAATCAAACTGCTGACCTAGCAGTCAACAGCCCAACCAGTAACCCACCGCACTAACAAGGCCCATGCTAACCCCAAACGGAGCAAAATTGGAGTGCCTGCAGGGCACACACATCTGGAGACCAAGTCTCTGGTCCCCTTTACAACCAGGTGCCCATCCCCACTTTGACCCTGAGAGCGAAGCCCCCGTCCTAGGGGCAGGGACCTTAGGGGAGCACCCGCCATCCCTGCTCTTCCCGGAGCTCCAGCAAGGCGAGGGCCAGTGGGTCGAGCAGGGGGCGATGCCCTGAGGGATCCTGCCTGCCGTTTCCTCTGCAGGGGTGGATGACCCCCACCAGCACGGGCGAGGCGTTGCCCTGGCCGACTTCAACCGAGACGGCAAGGTGGACATCGTCTACGGCAACTGGAACGGCCCCCACCGCCTCTACCTGCAGATGAGCGCCCATGGGAAGGTCCGATTCCGGGTAAGATGGCAGCGGGCCCTCCTGCCCTCCGTGCCAGCTCTCTCCCTCCAGGCTGAGGAGGTGCTGTGCCTCTCCAGAGTCCCGGGGGCAGGTGGGGGATCCAAGACAAGGAGGTGGCAGGCCTTCGAGGGGTCTACAGGGGTCTGCTGTTGACGCTAGGAGTGCCTGGAGCAAACGAGCTGAGGGAGCAGCAGGGGCGAGCCTCTCCCAAGATGGGCAGGCGCAGGCCAAGCGAGGCAGAGGAGGGTCTGCAAGGCCTGGCCTCCCTCCACTGGGTCAAGGTTGGGGGTCAAGGCATCCTTCCTGATGGCTCCGTAGCCCTGCCCTGAATTTACGGAAGTGGGGGTCAGGCCCAGGGCACGGTGGTAGGAGAGCAGGGGAGGATGAAGCCACCTGAGTGCATCTGAGTCACATGGTGCATGAGGGCCTTGGACCTCTGTCCCCCCCCTGCCCCCCCCCCAAAGTGATGCCAGGGATCCCTCAGCAGGGCTGCTTGGTGGCAGTAATGAGGTGCCACCAGCATAACCTGAAGTTTGGGCTTACGCAAAGCAGGGCAGAGGACCTCTGAAGCTGATCTCTGGGAGTCAAGTTGTTCCCGGGAAAACCTAGATTTTTGCCAAAGCCCCAAAGGCGTGAGCAAGCCCAGTCTGTGCTCCTGTGTCTGAGCAGCCACAGAGAGGCCACCGCTGAGAGCTCTCTCTCCGCGTGCCCAGCTCTGGAGTGGCAGGGCAGTGGATCCTGGGTTTGAATGATTTCATCTTCATTCAACACCCCTTTTTTAGTTAGGATGTAATACCGACATCATATCCTATTTCAGTCGCAGAAATGTACAATTGCTACCCCAGTCAGTTTCCAAACATTCGTTTTCCTCCTGGACTCCTTGGCATCGTCTCCCACTTACCCCACCACCATCACTCTTACCCCCACCCCACCCCCAAAACCCTTATTCTACTCGCTGCCCCTATGGGCTCATCAGCCCTGGATTTCATAGACCGAAACACGGAAAAGCATACAACACAGCTTCAGGAGGGTGACCTCCATGGACAGAACACCTCTGAGATACACTCTAACATGAACAACAAAAACCAAACCAATAATACAGAACATTTTGGAAACCAGACCAGGTCCAGCCTCCATCATTGGGGGAGCTACTGACAACATTTTAACTGTTTAAGTCAAATGTATGCCTTTGACCTTTAATACTCCCCACTCCCAAGCACTCTGTTTAGTGACCACTTTCCTCCCACCTCTCAGTTTTAGATGGGGGAGTTCTCCAGAGGCTTATGTCCTTCGTGATTCCACTAATGGATCTTGGGCATTCACTGTCATCCACTGCTTCTGCACATCGGACCCTCATAAGTCCGGTTCTGATCCTGACCCACCCTTTGATATCAGATTATTGATTTACAATCCTTCAGTGATTGGTGGTGGTGTGGACATCTCTCTTAGATGGCTGCTGGGGTGGAGACAAGCCTTTCAGACCCCAGACGCTATTCTATCTGATAGCCACGCACCGCGCACCATCTAAATTCTTCGCCAAACTTTTGCTTTAACACCCGTATCTTCTGTGGTCCTTTCCTGGAGGCGAGTATCGAGCAGGACCATGATGTTGGAGCTAGGATTTAGTGCAACCTATTCTTGGATCTATGCTTTTGTTTTGGTTTGGTTTTAATTTGCTGTAACTTGGGAATTAATACATAGGTCATACCATTCCACAGTTCAATTGCATCAAACGGAATTGTACAATTGCTACCATAAGCAGTCTCCAAACATACTTTTCCTCCCTGAACTCCTTGACATCATCTCCCTTTTATCTTAACCCTGTGCTTCTCCACCAGGGGCAGTTTTGACCACACTCCCCACCTCTCACCAGGGGACATTGGGTCATGTCCAGAGACCTGACTGGGTGTCACACGGGGACAGGGGCTCCATTGCCGTCTAGTAATTCAAGACCAGAGATGCTGCTAGACATCTTACAAAGCGCAGGGTAGTCCCCACCACAGGGACATCAAAAACCAAGCCAAACTCACGGCCATCGAGTTGATTCCAACCTCTAGTCACCCTCTACGTCAGAGTTGAGCTGCCCCTGTGGGTTTCCAAGACAGTGGTAGCTCTTGATGGGAGTAAAAAGCCTCCTCTCTGTCCTGAAGAGTGGCTGATGGTTTCAAACCACAGACCTTGTGGGTAGCAGCCCCGAGTGTAACCAGCTATACCAATGGGGCTCCTTCCACACCGGCAGAGCCCACCCAAAACACCAGGAGGACCAAGACTAAGGGACCCTGTTAACCTTCTATAGCTCCTTCCCAGAACCCACAGGACACCTATCATAATCATGAACACCCCATCTATCAAGGGTCTCCCCCGCCGCCCCCCCCCCGGGGGGAGGAACTGTGCTGATGCCATACATACACTACCTGGGAAGCTCAGGCGCCCAGTAGGGGGACCCCAGGGGGCCCTGGAGGTTGTCATTCTTATAAGATCAACAGAATGATAATGACTTAGAGATCCAGAGGTCTCCTGGTTCCCCAAGATCTTCAGGCCTTGCTCAGCCAGGTCAATGGAGCAGTCTCCTAATCAACCTCGTTACTGTGCCCATGAGACAACCTCTCCCTGGCCTGCCACCTTTCCCGGGCCAGCAGGAGGCCCTGGTGGCCAAGCGAAGGAGCAGGAAGGCAGGCCCAGAGACACTGACCCGCCCCTTCTCAGCCCCTCCTCCATGAGGGCTGGGCATTCAGATTAGCCCCCAGTGTCTTGAAGGGACAGCCCAGCTGTAAGGGGTATTCTCAGGCAGGTCCTCCAACACAGCTTCTCTTTAATGCCAACCAAAGGCAAGGCCCCCTCCGGACCCTTTGTCACATCTACCCAAAGCCCCCCCAGCACTGTGGGTCCCCGCTGGGGTAATCTGGATCCCGTAGGCAGGTCTATCTGATACTGCATCCTCTAAAAAAGGAAACGTGAGGAAGGAGCTCCTGAAACACACCATCAGCAAAAGCCACAGCTAACGGCAGCCAGGGCCACTTCCTAGACATTCAGCCTGCTCAGCTTGGAGCAGAGCTCTGTTTAGCTCTCCTAGGTGCCAGCAATTTACCTTCCTCACCCCATGCAGTCCTCACAGCCTGCTATTATCCTCCTGGTACTGCCAGGGAAAGGGCTATTCAAAGGGCTGAGATCACACAGCCAGCCAGCAGAGAAGGAGCCAGGATATTTGCATGCACCTGGCCCCAAGCTCTCACCACTCTACTCATTAGCCAAGACGAAGAGCAGGCCCTCCCTTCCCAGGACTCAGTTCCCTCACCTGTACAACGGGAAGGCTAATGTCTGTCCCAGAGTCCAGTAATCAGCGGGTTACATGCTGGATTGCTAACCAACAACAAGGTCTGTGGTTCCTACCCACCAGCTGCTCCGAGAGAGCAAGATGAGGCTGTATGCTCCCCTAAAGATTTAGTCTCAGAAACCCCACGGAGCAGTTCTGCCCGGTCCTGCAGGGTTGCTGTGAATTAGACTGGACTCACTGGTAGTGAGGCCGGGTTCGTTTCATGTCTGCCCTCACTCACGGGGCTGACGGGAGGGTCGGCAAGGACCAAGAGCCTGTTGGTGTGACCTGCAGTCATGATGTGTGCCTCTGCCCTCCCACAAACAGCCCGGGGTGCGTGTGGTCCTACACACCGCCATGCAGGCCCCTTGCCAGGGAGAGGCGAGAGGAGGTGTTGCATGGGCGCTATGTCTTCTCCATGAGCACCCCCACCCCACCCCCGTTCCCAGTAGAGGGGACTCTAGCCCACTCCTACTCCTCCACGCCCACCCGCTGACCGGCTACCCTGTCTTCTGCCAGGACATCGCCTCACCCAAGTTCTCCATGCCCTCCCCGGTGCGCACAGTCATCGCCGCCGACTTTGACAATGACCAGGAGCTGGAGGTCTTCTTCAACAACATCGCCTACCGCAGCTCCTCCGCCAACCGCCTCTTCCGGTAGCTGCTCTAATGTTGGCAGCTGGGGGAGGTCAGGGAGGAAGGCTTAGGAATCCGAAGGGTAGTGAGGGAGGGGAAAAGGGAGGGGGAGGTCCTTCCAGGGTGGAGCATAGGCTGAGCAAGAGGCTGTGGGGGTCAGAGGGCAGGTCCTGGACAAGGAGTAGCCCGTTGCAATGGCAGGGAAACGTGGCCCTCAGCATGCCGGAAGCCGAGATCTTTGGGAGAGGAACCCACACCCCGGTACACGGGCTTGCAGGGCCCAATCTGCTGGGGCAAACCCAAGCAAAGCAGCAGCAGGCAGGTTTATTTACTGAAACAACTTCTCAGAGCCTTTCAAATGCTCAGAATAGCCCTGCGCCGAATAACATCGGCTCGGGCAACATCCGAGCACCTGCCCGTATGTGATCCCAGAAGGCGCTGCATGGAATGGAGCTCAGAAATTCCACTGACGCACAGGTTGGAGCGAGCACAGAGAATGCAGCAGCCTCCCGCACGCAGCTCAGGAATCCCACGCCTTCAGTATACGGTGATGGTGCTGCCAGGAGTCTAACTATACCGTCTACAAATCACCTATATCACCTATGCCTGGGAGCCCAGGGGGCATAGTGGTTGGTTACGAGTTGGGCTGCTAACTAACCTCAAGGTCAGCGGTTCAAAACCACCAGCTGCTCTGCCAAAAAAAGATGAAGCTCTTAAAGAGTTACAGTCTGGGAAACCCACAAGGACAGTTCTACCCTGTCCTGTGGGGCCACGATGGCTCAGAACGGACTCGGTGGCAGTGAGTGAGAACACAGACACCCCGATAGTCAGACTGCACGTCTGTGTGACAGTCTGCCCTGTGCTGCGAGTCCTATCGTTGCTGTCACGTGAACTTTCCCTCCTTACAAATACAAAGTCCACCACCTCTCAGCACACGCAGTACCTGGGCTCTCGGATCACGAGTCTCTGGAAGGTTGTAGCGTTCCCTTTCTGTGGAATGATCCTTGGATAATTTCACCACGAAGGGCAGCGTGGCTCCTGCGAGCAGCAGAGCCAGAGCCTGTGATAGCAGCTGCCAGTGGCCGAGGAGAAGCATGGATCTGGAAGTGAAACAAAGGGTTGGGGAAGGATATCAGGGAGGTAGGAAATCCTGCTCTCACCGGAGCCGCGTCCGCTCAACATCCGGACCGCAGAGCGCCTGATCTCACGATGGGCATGCTCAGAACGCACCGTGCGTGGGCTCTGGGCGACACATGGCTGGGGTAGAGGGTGGGAAGGGTGTCAAAGAGTGCTGCCAAGCGGGTGGACCTCAGGGCATCTCTCTCTGAGAGGGTCTCTGGGAACCACTATTCTGCAAGACAGCCTTCAAGAGATGCTAGATGAAATGCCAGCGTGGCGCTAGACAAGAAAAGGGGAGCTACAGAGATGAGAGGGGGCTGCCATCGTCTAACCTGGAACCCAGGGAGGGAGGGGCCGGATTTTCTGAGGAGCTCTTTTCTGAGGGTGATTCAGAGACCACTGCCCACCCCCCTGCCCCCCTATCTCCCAAACTGCACTGTCCTGTGTCCTGTTCTCTGTGCTGAGCTTCCCCTCCCAGGGTTCGGGCGCAGGAATCACTGGGCCTCCTGGATTTTTCGTCTCACTGGTTTGGGGTGCACTGCTGGGGAGCTAAGCAGGACCTGTGTGCCTTGAGGCTTCCCCATTCCCGGCCAGACAGACTGGAGGTGGAGGATGGGATTGGGAGAGAAAGGCGGGGCGGGCGCTTTGCACCCAGGAAGCGGGCCTGCCCCCTTGCTCAGTCCCTAAGGCTCCCACCCCTTGCCTCAGGAGGACCTCAACTATTAATACACAGTGAGCGCTGTGACTAAGCGTGTTTTAAAATATAATTATTAACAACGCATCAATCCTGACCGGATGTAATCACCCCCTGAAGGCACCAGATTTACTAATTAGGTGCCTTGCAAAAAGCTTATTCACAACTTCCAGATTAATTGCGGAAGATCAATTGCTCGTTAACAGAGACACCGCTTTCCTCCACTGGCTAATAGAGTGTGTCGCTCACCAGGACCCCAAGTACCAAGGAGCACAGTCTCTGGGGCCCAGTGCTGAGCACCAGGTACTGCCCACAGTCCCCGGAATAGGCCTGCTCCTAACCTCTAGCCATGCAGAGTGGGCTGGGAGGGAGACAGGTCCACCGCGTGGTGCGTGTGTTGGCTGACACACAGCGGTGCAAAAGCCACTTCCCAGGTATGTGGCGGTGCCCCGGGTCCCCGCGGCAGATGGCTGTTCTGAACATGCAGTGGAAAGTGAGAGCAGGACCACAGCTGGGGCTGCCATGCAGCTGCAGCTCTAGAAGCTGTAACCCCACCTGTCCCACAGGGCCAGGGCTTCACACCTGTTACTGAACAGAGAGCCTCACGGACCCCTGGGTCCAGATATACAGCACCTCCATGCACCTGTGTTCGCAAGTCTGTTAATGGCACCTAAGGAGTCCTGGTGGCTCTGTGGGTTGGTGTTGGGCTGCTAACCCACAGGTCGGAGGTTCAAACCCAGTTCCAGGAAGAAAGATGAGGTCTTCTCCCCGAGAAAGATTTACAGCCTTACGAACTGAAAAGGACCATTCTACTCTGTTCTGTAGGGTTGCGATGAGTCAGAATCAACTCAGTGGCAGAGTGTTTGAAGGTCTCCGGTGGCACCGTGGAGTAGGCTTTGGGCTGCTGATCTCAAGATCAACGGTTCAAACCCATCAACCACTCCAAGGGAGAAGGTTGGGGCTGTTTGTCCCATAAAGATTGATAGTCTCAGAAACCCCACACAGGGCCACTGTGAGTCGGAACGGCCTCCATCAGTAGGTTAGAGCCACCAGCAAGGAACCTGGTGGTGCTGGGGGTCAGACATCAGGCCGCGAGCCGCAGGGAGAAAGATGGAGCCATCTGCTCCAGGGAAGACAGAGTTAGTCTCGGACACCCTAGGGAGCTGTTCTACTCTGCCCTAATATGTGTGTAAGAGAGAACTTTATATCAAAGAGCAATTGTCTATTGAGAAGACACCCCAGCCCAGTCCAGATCAAGTCCATAAGTCCAATATTAACCCCTATGTTGACACTAGTCCATAAATTCCTCTTTAGACTCACGCAGCACATGCAATGATGCTGAATGCAGGAAGATCACAGGCCAGTGGGTGGAAAGTCTTGTGGATCCAGTGGCAGTGGAAGCATCTGGTATGCGTCTCCACGTGGATCCTCCAGGGCTCTGGTTCCATCAGTGTAGCTGCATGTAGCCTGTCAACAGGAATGTCTCACAGAGAGACAACCAGAGAGAGAGTGTCTGGCCCCCAGTGCGCTATTCATCTCCTTCACACCTCCAGAAGAAGTCATCAAGCTGTGTCCTGATTGACAGGCTAAACTCCACCCCTTCACTTTTAATAGTCTCGAGTTGACCCCAGATTATGTAGCTACCACAGTCACTATGAGTTGGGATCAACGAGATGGCAGTAGGTTTTTGTTAAGGGTAATGAGAGACCCCCAGTGCAGTGCAAAACATGAACACATCAGCTGTTACCCAAAGGTTGGCAGTTCTAGTCCACCCAGAGGCACCTCAGAAGGCCTCGTGATCTTCTAAAACATCAGCCCTGAGAACCTCAATGATGGCACACGGGGCGGGGGGGTCGCTCTGAGTCGGGATTGTCTTGATGGAAATGAGTTAGGGTGGGCAGAGAATTCGTCACCCAAACCAGGACACTCAGATGGGGACAGGGAGGCAATGGGTGACAGCAACAGGACAGCAGGCAGGAAGGGATACTGCCCGAGGCCTACCAGGAAGTATAGTTATCCTACTTACACATCAAAGCCTCCTCTGAGCTGTCCTCATCCCTCCCCCTCGAGTCCTCCCAGTTCCTGCCCTGCAGAGCCAGCTGCTGGGTCTGCACAGCTGGCCACATCCCCGCCCACGCAAGCTCCCAGGCCTTCCGCTGCAGCCCCAATTCCTGTGCGTGACTCGCTCTCGCCAGCCACCATCGAGCCGTGACGGCTGGCGGGTGTGTCCGGTGGAGCTGTGATCCCAGAGTTCCCAGGGCTGCTTTTTCAGGCCTTTCTTCCCCGGCGCTCTCACAGCCTTTTCAGTGAGCTGCCAGCGTGTTCACCGACCGCCCGTGCCCCCCAGGATTTCCACAAGTTCCGGCCTCAGCTTCGTGGCTCTTGTCTTTCCTGATTGCCTAAACCTGACCAAGCACCCCAGCCCTGTGCTCCCCTCGGGCCCACCTTCCCCGTCCAGCACTCTGCATTGTGGTCCCCTGTGACTTGGCAGCTGCCCTCGGGGGCTCTGAGCCCATCCTTCCCAGGGCCCGCCATCCATCCCCCTAGGCCTGACCCAGTCCCCGCACACATTGGTAACACAAACTTCTGGTTCCCGGGATCCACGCTGACTCTCGAGTAGAACTGGGCTCCAGGGGTCTCAGTGGCTGCTTTTCCTTCGCTTTTTTTTTTTAATAAATCATTTTATTGGAGGCTCTTACATATATTATAACGAACCATACATCCATTATCTCAAGCGGACATGTGCAGTTGGCATCAACAATTTCTAAACATTATCTCTCTTCTTCAGCCTTTTGATATCAGCTCCTCTTTTTCCCCCTTCCCTCCCGACCCTGCCACCCCTGCAAGCCCTTTATGTATTATGTATTGTTGTTAATACTTACACATCGCTTATACCGCCCATCCTGGTATTCTTCCCCTGGTGGGGGTTATTCTGCCGTCATTGTTATCCATTCCCACCCCCACCCCACCCACCTTTCTCCTCCTTCCCTTCCCCTACCCTCCTGGAATTGTTGCTCCCATTACTGTTCCTGAGGGGATTTGTCTTCCTGAATTCCGTATTCTAGAAACTCTCATCTGTGCCACTGTCTGTACACCGCACTAGTGGGAATTGTGAGATTGGACTGAGATCCTAATAGTGGGAGGAGGAAGGATTAAAGAACTAGAGGAGTGTTGTGTATTTCATCGGTGCTAAACTGTTCCCTAGATGCGTTTTCTCCTCCGTGCAGCCCCTCTGCGTAGGGACGTCCCGTTATCCACAGATGGGCCCTGGGTCTCTAGCTTGGCCCTCTCCATCACCTCGGTGAGGTGGTTTATTTTTAGAATTCTGATAGTGCTGCTTTTTCTAAAGGAGATCTCCAGGCCTTTCTTCGGAGACTTGAACCACCAACCTTATGGTTGGCAGCTGAACATAGTAGCCGCTTGCACCACCCGGAGCTCCTGAGCTTATCCTTGAGAACCCATGATTCTCACAACAGCATGGTTGCCTCCACCAAGAAGCGCCCCTGCCCTGCTGCGGCAGAGCCTGCAGGACACGCCTGAGGGCGGGGTCAGCAGGCTGGGCTTGCACCCCTGCAGCAGGTGTGCACCCCGGTGCACAGACAACACTCCTCGGGTGTCGACTCCATCCAGCAGACACCCTCTCTGACCCGATGCAGGGGACCCCCACCTCCTGCAGAGCTCGGGGTACACGCAGTTCTGGGCTGTGTGCACTCTGATTTGACAGTACAACAGGGAGTGGCAGAGAGTCCTGCAGAACCCCCGTGTCTTTCCCCGTGCCCCACTGCGGCGGCACACATCCAGAGGTGTGGAGCTGGGTGTGAGTAGATAATGAGGAGGGGGAGGGGGAAGCCGGTAGCGCTAGCCCACCTGTATCCTCAGCACTGAGCTGAGCTGAGCTGCATGGAGGAGGAACAGAGGGGAGCAGACTTCTCTGAAGCTAAGATCCCCAGACTCAGAGTTCAAACCAGACGGGACCCCTGCAAGCCAGAGAGACTCTCTCTCTGCGCTTTTGTCTCTGGAGCCTGTGCAGACATCCCACAGACACGTGCTTGGAGCTCCAGAGAGCCGGCTGCTGGGGGGACGGAGAGATGAATAATGCATGGTCCCGGCCTGCAGCCAGCTCGCGGTCCATCCAGGCAGATAAGCTGCATTCGCAAGAGCTTGAACACAGCTGGAACGTGATAAAGGCCGAGGAAGTGATACAAGGCCAGGGCGGGATGGCTTCTAGCAGAGCAGGTCCAGGGGAGCTGGCATTCCAGAGGGGTTTGAACCTGGGTGGGACTAAGGACTCCCAAGAGGCAGGGACCCCTTGGAGGAGGGTGTGAAGGTCAGCTGAAGGGAGTTGTGTCCCCACCCCTTCCCCATCCATCAACTGCCCTGCCCCGGCTTGTCTATAATTCATCCATTAGAGAAGGGAAAAGTCAATATTCGCCAACATAAATTAAAGCCTGGGAAGGGGATGTCCAGGGTGTTGGCAGGGTCTGTGTGCAGAGGGGCTTGGGGTGGGGGGTGGGGGGAGGGTGGCTCTGGGAACGCTCAGGGGACAGAGGCTGGAGCAAGCGAGCCTGCAGGTCCGGGGCCTGGCTCACAAGCAACAGTCCGTGGACAGCCTGTCTCCTCTCTGCAGCGTCATCCGCCGGGAGCATGGAGACCCCCTCATCGAGGAGCTCAACCCCGGAGATGCCTTGGAGCCTGAGGGCCGGGGCACAGGTGAGGAGCCTCGGGGCTCTCAGCGTCCTAGAGGGAAGGTAGGAGGGGGCAGGGGCCCCTCCCCTGGGCTCCTTGGGGCTCGCCCCACCTGAAGACTGAGGTTAAGAACAAAGGTGGGCCTCCCCCAAGGGGAGAGGTCACTTCCCGGCCCAGGGCTGCTTGGGGCATGGGGAGGGCTCTCTGGGGAGCGTTGGCATTGCAATGAGAAGATGGGGAGAGGAAGGGCATCTTTTCCACACCCAGGCAGGAGGGCCTGCAGTCTGGCCCTGCTGGCCAGGCACTCAGAGAAAGAGCCCGGGGCCAAGAGTCACCAGACCCACTTTTGCCATGGCCACCCGATACACCGTGCTGGAAACGCGACTTCGTTGTCTGAGCCTTGTTCTCTACATTCGTTGTCTCCCCTCCTCCACACTCTGGGGCCTAAAAGGAGGCCAGGAATCTTCAAGCATCTGAAACGTCAAGAGGGCTTATTCAGTCCACGATAGGCCAGCAGATCCCCTGTCTAGTGGCCCACCCTCTGCGCCTCTGGGGGTGGTGGGGGAAGAGGAACCCTCTCCTGGCCCGAATCACCTTGAGAACCATCTCCATTCACGCTCACGGGCCTTCAGAGGTGGGGAGGCTGCGGGCACAGCAGCAGAGGCAGGTGTGGTGCGGAGCCCGAGTCCCGTCTCCCATCCCTCACCCTCACCTCCCCGCAGCCCCGGCCTCTTCCTCTCCTCTTGCCCGCTGCGCTCAGGGCTGTGGGCAGCCCACCTGGCCCTGGGCTGTGATGAAATCTATGTCTTCCCAGGGGGCGTGGTAACGGACTTCGACGGAGACGGGATGCTGGACCTCATCTTGTCCCACGGAGAGTCCATGGCGCAGCCGCTGTCCGTCTTCCGGGGGAATCAGGTGGGCTGGGGCTGCGGGGAGAGGGGCAAAGCATAGAAATCCAGGGCCTCCCTGGCCAAATCGGCTCTTGGCATCCAGGGCAGAGAAGGCCTGGCTCCCGGGAGGAGGCTCTCAGCCTCTTCCCCCAAACACTGGTTTCCAGAGGGACCACCAGCATCTCCTCCCTGCTTTCCCCGCTCGCCCTGCCCTTCCCCTCCTCCTGCCTGCCCCACTGGCTACATCGGCATCGGCCTTGCCCCTCCCACCAGGGCTTCAGCAACAACTGGCTGCGAGTCGTGCCCCGGACGCGGTTCGGGGCCTTCGCCAGGGGGGCGAAAGTGGTGCTGTACACCAAGAAGAGCGGGGCCCACCTGAGGATCATCGACGGGGGCTCTGGCTACCTGTGCGAGATGGAGCCTGTGGCCCACTTTGGCTTGGGTGAGTTGGGGCCCGTGGGGGCACAGAGTCCTGAAGGTGCTGAGCAGCTCAGGGAGCCACAGCCGACCGCCTTGCCAGGACTGATGTGTGGATGCCACTCGGACACCGGCTCCTGGAGGCAGTGACGCTTGGCTTAGGTCACCGCCCACAGTGACGCCGGGCTTGTCAGCGTGGAGCTGGGCCCCATGGGGTCCTCAGTGGCTGATGTTTCCGAAATAGATCCCCAGGCCTTTCTTCCAAGGTGCCTCTAGGTGGGTTCGAACCTCTGACTCTTGGATCAGGAACCAAGTGCACAAAGGGTTTGCACCGACCCCCCAGGGACCCGAGCGTAGGGTGGACGGAACAGGAAATGCTGGCCATCTTGGTCTTATCCCAATCCTCGCCTCGGTCACTGGTCCACCAGCAGGTCAGAGTGCATGCTGTGCCTCTGGGCCAAGGCCTTGCTCTTCAGACGATGGCTGGCTGCCCGCTTATCCAAACAAGCTGTTTCTCTGGCTTCTTGGGGGCTGGCCTCGTGCTTGAAATGTCTCATCAAACCCTTGGAGTTTTCCGTGGACAGAGGCTTAGAGAAGCCATGACGTTCCCAACGGGAATGGTGTCCCTCCCAAGGAGGCAAAAAGTGGCTCTTGGATAGAGGAGGAAAAAAACGTATCCCCCCTTTGTTAAAATTCATGTATGTCTACGTACAAGACAGACAGACATGCGACATAAACATGGACATACACGTATGTGGTTGCCGGGTGCCATGGAGTCAGTTCCGACTCCCAGCGACCCGTGTACGACACACCGCCTGGTCCGGCGCATTCCTCACCATTGAGCTTCTGCCTGAGCCCGTTGTCCATCTCGCCAAGGACCTTCCTCTGTTTCGCTGCCCAAGCACGATGCCCTTCTCCAGGGACTGGGCTCTCCTGACAGCGTGTCCAAAGTACACGCCATGAGCTCCCGCCATCCTTACCGCTCAGGAGCACTCTGGCTGGCCTTCTTTGGAGACAGATGTGTTTGTCCTTTTGGCAGCCCCTGGTACTTTCAAGATTCTTCACCAGCTCCACAATTCAATTACACCCATTCTTCTTCGGGCTTCCTGATCCAATGCCCAACCTTCACATGCCTGTGAGGGCATTGGAAAGACCTGATTGGGGTCAGGCGCACCTTGGTCCTCAAAGGGACAGCGTTGCTTTTCAACACTTTAGGAGGTGTTGTAGCACAGATTTACCTAATGCAATGACTACTTGATAAGTATATACATACATACATAAATATAGTATATCTGTGGTATTAATGAGATATCACTGCACACTCAAAGCAAAAACCAAGCAAACAAACAAAGTCCCTGCCACTGAGTTGATGCCAACTCATGGCGACCCTATAGGACAGGATAGACCTGCCCGTGTGAGTTTCCCAGACTGTAACTCTTAGCGGTAGTAGAGAAGCCCGTCTTCCTCCCATGGAGCTGGCTGGTGGTTTCGAACTGCTGGCCTTGCAGGTAGTAGCCCAACATGGAACCTCTACACCACCAGGGCCAGAACAGCTAGGTTAAACACAATGACCATACCTACTACCAGCAGGGTGGAGGAGAATTTGGAGTCCCTACACCTCCCTGGGGGGAAGTGGGAGGACATAAAACTCCTCAGCCACTCTGGAAAACAGCTGGGCAGTTTCTTCACGAACTACACATCCCACTGCCCTGCGGCCTAGCACGGGCAGACATTTGTAGGGTTTTTGGTTTTTTGTTTATTTTTAAAGTTATCCCTTTATTATTTATTTATTTTAAATAATTTTATTGGGGGCTCATACAGCTCTTATCACAATCCATACATGCATCCACTGTGTCAAGCACATTTGTACATTTGTTACCATCATCATTTTCAAAACATTTTCATTCTACTTGAGCCCTTGGTATCAGCTCCTCATTTTTTCTCTCTCTCCCACCCTCCCTCATGAACACTTGATAATTTATAAATTATTATTTTCATGTCTTACACTGACCGATGTCTCCCTTCACTCATTTTCTGTTGTCCATCCTCCTGGGAGGGGGTTATATGTAGATCCTTGTGGTTGCTTCCCCCTTTTTCCCCCACTTTCCCCTTCCCCTCCTGGTATCACTACTCTCATTATTGGTCCTGAGGGGTTTATTTGTCCTGGATTCCCTGTGTTGCAGGCTCTTATTTGTAGCAGTGTACATGCTCTGGTCTAGTCGGATATGTAAGGTAGAATTGGAATCATGATAATGGGGGTGAGGAAGCATTAAAGAACTAGAGAAAAGTTGTATGTTTCATCAGTGCTATACTGTGCCCTGACTGGCTCATCTCTTCCTTGTGACCTTTCTGAAAGGGGATGTCCAGTTGTCTACAGATGGGTTTTGGGCCTCCACTCCGCACTCCCTCTCATTCACATTGTGATTTTTTGCTCTGGGTCTTTGATGCCTGATACCTGATCTCATCAACACCTCATTATCACGCAGGCTGGTGTGCTTCTTCCATGTGGGCTTTGTTGCTTCTCAGCAAGATGGCCACTTGTTTATCTTCAAGCCTTGAAGATCCCAGGCGCTATATCTTTTGACAGCCGGACACCATCAGCTTTCTTCACCACATTTGCTTAGCACTCACTTTGTCTTCAGCGATCGTGTTGGGAAGATGAGCATCATGGAATTCCAGGTTATTAGACAAAGTGTTTTTGCATTGAGGGAGTACTTGAGTAGAGGTCTTCTGCTACTTTAATTAATACTTAACATATAAATAGATCTATTTACCTATCCTTATATCTAAATATATTTTCATATGTACATGCATGTATTTAGATCTCTGTAAGTGCCCTTTGCCTCCTAATTCTTTCCTCTATTTACTTTTACTTTCCTCTTGTCCCACTATCATGTTCGGCCTTCACTCGGATTTCAGTAATTCCTCTCAGTTACATCGCCCTTGATTAAGCCCTACTTGGCATCCTACACCCTCCTCGCCATGTTCTTTTTTAAAAATCATTTTATTGGGGGCTCGTACAGCTCTCACCACAATAGATACATCCATCCATTGTGTCAACCACATTTGTACATATGTTGCCATCATCAGTCTCAAAACATTTTCTTTCTACTTGAGCCCTTGGTATCAGCTCATTCCCCCTCACCCCACCCCCAGACATTTGTTTTTATGGTTATTGGTGCCACCCAGGGCCTCCAGCTCCCAGTGACCAGGGTGACAGGGGAGACCCGATCCATGCACTTTTCCAGGCTTCCATCTCCACGGGAGCTGCTCACTAGAGCTTTTCCCGGCCGCACTGAGGAAGTCCAAGCTCCGAGCGCATTATAGGCATTACTCGGACCAATGACACGTACATTCCTGGCAGCTGCCTTCCTAACAGCTGGACTGATGTCAGCCCATGCATCCCTCAACAGATGAACCATCCCACGAGCCGGGGAGCGTCCCATCCCATGGGACATCGATGCCAAATAATGAACCACAAAAGCAGACCCACTGCCATCACGTGGATTCCAGTTCAGAGTGACCCTCTCTAGGATTTCTGAGACTTTGTCACTCTTGACAGGAGCCGCGGGCCTCATCTTTCCCTCTAGGAGCAGCTGGTGGGTTTGAACCGCTGACCGTGAGAGGTTCGAGGCGCAGTGCTTCCCCAACAGCACCACTAGGGCTCCCTGTACCACGGAAGAGTATTCAGCAAGCAAAAGGCGGGAGCTATGGAGACCCTGAACACCTTGGGTGGATCAGAAGGGAATTCTGGGGTGGGGAGGGGAAGGCCATGCCAGAAGATCCCAAATGTCTGGTTCCGTTCATCGAACGTTCTCAAAGGACTCGCTTCTAGAGACGGGCACCCGGTGAGTGGTTGCCAGGGGTTAGAGCTGACGGGAGGAGGGGTGGAGGGGACCAGGGACTGTCTTTGCTGGTGGCGGCACAGTTCTGTATCTCGGCTAAAGGTAGGGTGCACGCCTGAGTCTGCCCGAGTGACAACATGGCAGAGAGCAAGGCACACTCCTTGGGCCAAGGCCACATCTCCGGGTTTCCCACAGTGTGCTGTAGTTGACCAAGACAGAACCGCCGAGGGAAAGGCGCCAAAGGCTGTACGGACTCTCTCTGTGCAGCTGTCCTCGGATCTCTAATGATTCCAGATAGCAGGGGGTGTTGTTTTTAATTCATGGGGTGCAGAGACTGGGGCGGGGGGTGGGGGTGTTCTAAAAAGGCTTTGAGCGAGGTGGATCGTGGAGAAAAGGTGAGGGAGGAGGGGCTGGTTAGGATATCGGCCTTTCTTAAAGATTCAAAACCCGACACCTTCCCCCATATGTTAGCACCAAGTGAGGTGATGGTAATATTAAAAGAATAGGCAATATGGTCTCAAACTAATAAAAATATACATGCTAATGTTCTGCACACTCATATGTGCATAGAAAAAAGAATAAGACGACGCAGCCAAGTGTGAACAGTGATGGATCTCGTCGTTCGCCACCTAGCAGGGGTTGTGCCAAGCCCTGTGCTCTGATGGAGTAGCCTTGGGACGACCTGCCTGAGCCCTGTGGCCACCCAGTGGGGCGGACACTGTGGTGGTTGCCAGGTGCTGCTGCATGGGTTCCTGCGCACACCAGAACGAACATGCACAGTCCTGCACCTTCTCACGACTGCTGCTGCGGCTGAGCCCATTGTGGCAGCCCCTGTGTCCTTCACCTCGAGAGGCCTCCTCTTCTCCACTGCCCCTCCTTTACCAACCATGACACCCTTGTCCAGGGACCGGGCTCTCCCGAGAACATGGCCAAAGGAGATGAGCCGGAGTCTCGCCATCCTTACCTCCAAGGAGTATACTCCGGTTCTAACTTCTTCCAAGATGTCTTTATTCTTTGGCAGCCCGTGGTATTTTCGATATTCTTCAACGGGATTGTAATTCAGCAGTCAGGAAATCAAAAACATACAAGTATTGCGCATTGGGCACATCCGGCGGCACACGTGACCTCTTTAACGTGGTAAAGGACAAAGACGTCACTTTGAGGACTAAGGTGAGCCTGA